AGGTCACCCTCTCCAGCAGGCACCCAAGTGGGTCAGCCAGGACCTTCCCAATCTCCCTCCTGGCCACCCACGCCAAAGTCGGAAACCGCTTCTGCACTCCTCCCCTACCAGACCAGACCCCCTACCACTCCAGACCCCTCCTCTTTCCCTCCCCCTTTCCCCTCCCCTCTTTGCCCGGGACCCTCCGGGCGCCGCTTACCTTCTGCAGTGCGCGCACGTTCTCCTCGCCCAGGAGGCCGCTGGCGCCCTGGTAAACGCCGTTGGCCGCCCTCCGGAGGCTGTTTTGCTTGTCGGCGCCCCGGGACCCCCGCGCTCCCCGCGCCCCCGGCCCGGACAGCAGCAACAGCAGCAGCAGCAGCAGCGCGCCCCGCGTCCCGCTCCGGCTCGCCATGGCGCTCCTGGGTAGCTGGTGCGCTCCAGCCGAGCGCGCTCGGCTCGGCTCTCTTGGCTGGCGGGTTTCCCCCGCTTTTCCCCGCCCAGCCTCGGCTTGGCCGCTCTCGCCTGGCCGGGCAGCGCTCTCTCGCGGCAGAAAGAGGCTCCGGCGGAGCTCAGCGGGGAGAGGAAAAGCCTCAAGGCGCCCCGCGCTCGCCCCGCTCGCCTCTGCGCTCTTGGAGAAGCCCCGTGTCGGCGAGCCCCCCGAGAGGCCAAGGGGGTCCCCGGGATAGGGCTGGCTTTGGGCCAGGCTGCTCGGGAGGCCTTTGCGGTGGGTGGTTTTTTTTAAGGTGCCTGCCTCCCAAGAGGGGAAAGCGAAAGGAAAAAGGGTAGGAAAAGCAGGAGGGAGGAAAAGGCTGCAGGGAAGAGGAGGAGGTTGCCCAGTCTCCTTTCCAAAGGGAGTTTAGGCAGGGATGGTTGATATTGTCTAATCGTCGCCCCAGATTTCACCCAGGTTTCTCTTCGTTTTCACATGTGACTCTCCTTCTCACATCTATCTTCGTTCATTCACCGTCCCTCCCTCCCTCCCTCCATCCCTTCTTCCCATCTATATTCCTTTGTTCCTTCCTTCTTCCCACATCTTTCATTCATTCATTTGTCCTTCCTCCCTTCTTCCCACAGCTATCTTCTTCCTTCCTTCTTCCCACATCTATCTTCATTCATTCACCCTTCCTCCCTCCCTTCTTCCCATCTATATTCCTTCCTTCCTTCTTCCCACATCTTTCATTCATTCATTTGTCCTCCCTCCCTCCCTCCCTTCTACCTCCCTCCCTCCCTTCTTCCCACAGCTATCTTCCTTCTTCCTTCCTTCCTTCTTCCCACATCTATCTTCATTCATTCACCCTTTCTCCCTCTTTCCCTTCTTCCTCCCTCCCTTCCTTATTCCCATCTATATTCCTACCTCCCTCCTTCCCACTTTGTACTCCCTCCCTCCCTTCCTTCTTCCCACATCTATATTCCATTTTTTCTTCCCTCTCCCCACATCTATCTTCATTCACTCATTTGTCCTTCCTTCCTTCCTCCCTTCTTCCCACATCTATATTCCTTCCTTCCTTCCTTCTTCCCACATCTATCTTCATTCATTCACCCTTCCTCCCTCCCTTCCTTCTTCCAATCTATATTCCTCCCTCCCTCCCTCCTTCCCGCATCTATCTTCCTTCCTCCTTCCTTCCTTCTTCTCACATCTATTTTCATTCATTCATTTGTACTTCCTCCCTCCCTTCTACCTCCCTCCCTCCCTTCCTTCTTCCCACATGTATCTTCCTTCCTTCCTCTCTCCCTTCCTCCCTCCCTCCTTCAACCCACTCTAGGCAAACTAATTAAGTTAACAGTCATCTTGGCTTATATCCGCCATCAGGAAGGGGAGGGGAAGAATTCTGCTGGAGATTTTACTTAACCTATCACTGAATGAACCATCATCAGTGCAAATATGAAGGTTTTCCCCCCCTTAAGCCAGCATTTCTCAAGCTTGGCAACTGGAAGATGGGTGGATTTCAATTCCCAGAATTCCCCCACCTATCCACCCACCTTCTAGCTGCCAAGGTTGAGAAACTCTGGCTTACACCTGTAATTGTGTGTAATTGTGTAATGGTCCAATGGAGCCAAGAGGTGACCCAAGACTACTCAGTACCTTTAGTGGCCTACTCAACTCTTCAGTTGAGTCAACATTGCCTTGTCTCTCTGCCCACTTTCTAAATCCACCCGTCCAACTTTTCTTTTTTTAGCAACTTTCAAAATATCCAGGCTACTCGGGTTCAAAGAGGATCCTGACCTAACCTCTCCCCTTCGGGTTTGCCTGCCTGCTCACCCCATCCTGAGCTTCGTGGCCAAAGGATTGCAACAACTCCTTGTTGACTGAAGGTCTTTTTCTTTTTTTAGCCCCAGGGCTGGCCAAGCATTTCCCAAATCCTGCTCCCAAGGCTGAGTGTGCAAATCAAATAAATTGGTTTCCCAAATCATCCTCTTCCCTACAGCTGGGTGTGCAAATCAAAACCATTCACAGTTTTCCAAATCCTCCCCTTTCCTATAGCTGCATGTGCAAATCAAAATAAATTAGTTTTCCAAATCCTCCTCTTCCCTATAGCTGCGCGTGCAAATCAAAATCATTCATAGTTTCCCAAATCCTCCTTTTTCTCAGTGGCTGGGTATGCAAATCAAAATAAACCAGTTTCCCAAATCCTCCCCTTTCCTATAGCTGCATGTGCAAATCAAAATCATTCAATTTCCCAAATCCTCCTTTCACTCTCACCGCTGAGTGTGCAAATCCAATCCAATCAATGGATCCTTTCCCCATACCATGAAAGCTGCGCTCTGATTGGGCACGCCTCTTCCCCAGTTCTGGCACCCATTGGTCTTCACGGAGCCAGTGCCAGCAAAACCTCTCCCTCTGATTGGTTGAGGAGGGCCACAGCCTGCTCCAGCCCTCCCATCGCTTGCTGGATGGTCCATGCTGGAGAGTCTGGGCTGATGTGGGGCCAGACCCAGATCCACCAATGAGGGGGCTGCATCTGCTTGTGGTGCGCTGATGCCATGGATCCATCCGCCCTCTGCCTCCGAAGGTGCCAGCTTTCGTGGGTTTGAACCCCAGTATGGGGCTTTTGACCCTTATCTGGGTTTCTACACATTTTCATTTATTTTTTCCCCCTGTACATCACATTGTATTGCATGCATGAAATAAGTAAAACAGAGTTTAAACTTGATTTATTTTTTTTTAAAACATAATTCAGGGTAGGTTTTTTTTGTTCTTTGCCATAGAATTTGAGTTTATTTGAGTGTGATGCTTTTTCTTTTTAAAAATAGATCTAATTTTAACAGCAGATTTTTATGTATTCATTTATTTATGACATTTGTTGGCCGCTTTTCTCGCCACCAGGCGACTTACAGGCATAAAAGATAAATCTGAACAAATAGAGGAAGGAAAATCAAGAAAAAATATGTATTTTATTTTCAAATCTAAGGTATTTCCCCGCCGTGAACATTTCATTGTAGTGAATGTATTAATAAGTAAATATAATTTAGTTAAAGGCAGATTTATGGGGGGGGCGGTTGCTAATTGAGGTTTTTTTTGCATAGAATCAGGGTCTGAGCGTGTTGCTTTACATACATACATACATACATACATACATACATACATACATACATGCATACATACAGGTAGTCCTTGGTTTATGACCACCATTGAGTCCAAAATTNGCTCTGCTGTTCCATTGGACTATTTCTGCCACGTGGAGAGTGGGGGATCTGCTGCTTGGGTACCATAGTCTTTTGAGAATGATGGATGCCAATGCAAAGTATGTGTGTGTGTATATGAGAGAGAGAGATCTGATGATGTATCATATAAGAGCGCAGGTGCTAGCTATACCGCTATATGTGTGTGTGTGTGTATGTATGTATAATGTGTGTGTATATATATAATATGCATGTATGTGTGGTGTGTGTGTATAAATGTATGTATACATACATACGTATACATTTATACACACACACACACACAAATCAGCTCAAATTTGCTTCATTAGCTAACTTGATTGAGGCATGAGAACATTCTCTAGGGACTGGATTCAAAACTGACCTGGATCTCAGGGGATCGATCCACTGGAACAAACACTGCAGGTTCAGATGTGGGTTTAGAAGTTGTGTTTCTTTGCTCAGGAGGTTTATCAAGTCCTTTGGCTAAAAGGAGTGGAGATTTGGGGGCCTTTCCAGATTCTGTCTCGGTGGTGGTGGTAGAGGCAGCTTCTGGGAGTGCCTTGTCAACCTGTTCTTCCTTCTCAGACTCCTCCTCCTCCTCCTCTTCTACCTCTTCCTCCTCCAACTCAAGTCTGCCTCTTTTCCTATTGGCACCTCCAATGCTTTTGATTTTCTTCGACCAGCCGACACTTGCTTCCTGGACTGACCTGAAACACCAAGGAACATGAGATGCTCTTTGCCCAAAACATTTGAAAAGAAGTTCAGGTGTTTTGACCGAGGCTTCCCCAGCAGCACAAAGCCAAGTCCTCGTCCTGATAAACCCCTTTTATTTAATTGACAGTGAATTCCTCTCCAGCAAAGGCTTTCTTCTCCCACAGTCTTTCAAGAGTTCCCAATTACCGACCTTTATCAGGCTTGGAGAGTGGCCAGGCCGGTATCTTTCAGACGCCACAAAACTTGGCAAGCAAGCAGGAAGTAACTAATTGTCTCCTGCAAACTCCACTCCCCTTTCGCTCCTCTTTTATTTCCCATGGGAGGGGCTATTCATCCTCCATCTGTGGCCTTACTCCCANTTTAATTTTATTTTTAAATTTTATTATTTTAATTTTATTTTTTAATTTTATTATTTTTATTTTATTTTTTATTATATATTTTTTAATTTTATTATTTTAATTTTATTTTTTAATTTTATTATTTTATTTTATTTTATTATTTTTATTTTATTCACCCTCGCTCCCCCTGCAAAGATCGGCCTTTCGCTCCGCGCACTATTTCTTGGGCTTTTTTTTTTGCTCCGCCTCTGGCGGAAGTTCACCGGCGCCGCCGAATAGGTGAAGCGTCTATAAAAGGTGCCGGCAGGAGGCGGAGCTCCGCAGTCCCGCTCGGACCGGGGAGGAGTTTGCGCTTAAGAAGCGAAGCAGGCAGGGGAGGTGAAGCGGCGGGGCTGTGCCCAAGTTTGATCATGTCTGGGGAGCTGGAGATCATGGAAGCGCAGCGGATGTGGGAGCCGGACTCCAAGCGCAACACCAGCATGGACCGGTTCCGGGCGGCAGTCACCGCGGCTTACGGCATCCGCCTGGGTGAGTCCCTGCGGGGAAGCCGGGCGAGAAAGCAACGCTCCGTCCATTTGCCGGGTTCTCTTTCCCGTTGCAGCCCAGTTCCTTCCCAGGAGGCAGGACCGCATCTCCTCTTGGGATCCCTCCCACAACGGCCCTGCAAGGTAGGCTAAGCAGGGCGCCCCGCAATTGCAAAGAACAAGATGCGCTGCTTGGATCGGCAACCTGGCACCCTCCGCAAATGCGATGCTGTCATCCTTGTTCTGGCTTTCTCTCTGGGCTTTTGGGGCTGGGGGGGGGCTTATTTGATCGAGTGGGGGAGGGCTGCCTGTGCTGGGAGAGCCGGCCGGCTGTCCATTGGGAGGGAAAACTACATTGCCCTAAAAGGATGATTATTTTATTTTTAATGCGTTTTTGGAAGGGGGAAAGAATGAATCTTGATAAAGTGGAGCCTCCAGAGGGAGAAGGAGTCTACCTTGGAAACAGCAGTGGCTGATGATGTGGTATAATAAGTGGAGCCTCCAGAGGGGGAAGGAGTCTATCTTGGACCAGCAGAGGCTGATGGGGTTGTTCAGCTTCCTCTAGTGGGGCTTAAATGATGCTTACCTGCATGGCATTCTTACATGTGCTCTAATTTGTGAATGAACCCCTGGGGAGACAATGTGGCATCCTCACAGTCCCAAATGTTGGAGCTGGTCCCCCCCCCCGCCCCCATCTCCAGTTCATCTCACTAGCATGTCGAAGAGAAGCTTTGAATGAACCCGTCGGGCGTGTTGCACGGGCCCAGCCATTCTGCATCCCACCCACATATTTTATCCCTTCCCACGTCGGTCTTTAGCCCGGGGCTGATGCAAGATCGGAGCCTTGCTGCAATCCCAGGAGCCACCAGGGGACAACCGCCTGGCCTAAATCCTGACATGATTTGCAAGCCCGCAGGGTTTACCTGTGAGCGAGGGCCTTCACAGGTGTGCTTGCCAGCAGAGAGAGACCCTGCAAGACTTTATAAACATGCGAGGCACCCAGAGTTGCCTTGTCAGGAAGACGGGGGCCATCAAAATTCAATAAGCCTATAATAAAATAAACAGGATCTTGAGGCCTCCACTGTAGGGTGAAAAAAAAAATCCATTTTTTTTTTGCCTTGCAACCAATACGATCCCCAGAATGAAACAGTGCAACCATCATGTGGATTTCAGCCCTGACACCCTCGGAACTGTGTCATCTTCCAGAGAAAATCTGGGTGCTTTAAAAAAAAAAAAATTATTCCAAGAAACTGGACCTCTAGCCCTCAAGGCTTGTACAAATCAGCGTTTTGCATTGGGCTTGGAGATGTCTTTTTGCTGCAGTTCAACACAGCTTAGATCAGCTGCCTGCTTCTCTTCCCTTCGCCTTTCCTCTCTGCAGGCTGAAATCCGTAGAAAAGAGGAAAAAATGGTGTGTGAATGCTGTTGTGTGGGTTCTGATTCCCTGAAGAGGGCAGGTTGTGTGTTTCCGCGTGCCGAGCGAGGCCTGATGCTTTTTATATTGGGAACTGCGCCAATGTGCTGTAAAAAGGAACATTTAATAAGATTTTTCCTTTCTTACAATGGGGGGAAGAATTTTAGGCTGTTGATTTTTGCATCGATCAAAAATAGGTCAGCTACCTAGGAGATTCTGAGCTACAGGCAGTGCTTGACTTACAATAGTTCCATTTTGTAACCATTCAGAGTTACAAAGGCATTGAAAAAAGCTGATTTATGACGGTTTTTACACTTATGACAGTTGCAGAATGTTCACATCATCAAAATTCCAGTGTTTGGGAACTGTCTCATGTTTATGACGGTTACAGTGTCCAGGGGTCATGCAATCCCCTTTTGCGACCTTCTGACAAGCAAAGTCAACAGGGGAGCCAGAGTCACTTAACAACCGTGTCACTAACTTAATAACTAGAGGGATTCACTTAACAACGGTGGAAAGAAAGGTTATAAAATGGGGCAAAACTAACTTAACAACTGTTTTACTTAGCAATAGACATTTTTTGGCTCAATCATTGGTGGTCGAAAGTCGAGGACTACCCGTACAGCTCCCACAAGGAGAGGCATAGGGTCTTGTAGTTCTGTCTACTGGCCATTTGGGACACTAAAGCTTTTCCCCTTTGTGCCCTAAAGTGTCAACGCGTGTGCGATACACAACAAATTTGATCCATTGGAAACATCTTGCTATATATATTTCATTTGGGCCTTCTATTAATCCATGAATAGATGAATAGAATAGAATAATAGAATAGAATAATAGAATAGAATAATAGAATAGAATAATAGAATAGAAGAGACAAGAATAATAGAAGAGAAGAGAATAATAGAAGAGAAGAGAAGAGAATAAAATAATAGAGTAGAATAGAAGAAAATAGAATAGAATAGTAGAATAACTGGGCA